AGCATTTTGCTAGCGGGGTTGATGGCAGCTGCTCAGTGGGAGTGGACGGAGCAGATGTCTTAATTCCTAGGTGGCAGTATGGGCAGAGGGTACAGCCTGGGCAAAGGTCTGGAGGGGGCCAAGAGGGTGAGTTGTTCACTGAAGGAGGAGGAGGAGGAGGAGGGGTACAGGATGAAGGCCTTTTGGGTTCTCTGTTGAGATGCATTCGAGAGGCTGGGAGCCCATCTAGTTCTTCTTAAAAGCCATTGAATTTCCTTTTCCCTGACATTACTCCTTGGGACAGAGGAGAGTGGATTAAGGTCCCCCGGTCAATGACCAGCCAGATACTGTGTATCAGAGGAGCAGCCATCTTGCTGTTTGCTGGAAAAGAAAGCAGCGGAGATCATTGTATGTTGTTGGGTGTGGTCAGGCCTTTTAGGAGCAATAGGCAACCTGGAACAAGGACTGATACAGAATACTGCCACCATGTTCTGCTCGGCCCTTCACATCCACCTCTTGGCTGCCTCTGTATCTGCTTTCCATGTTCCTCAGCCCTGGCATCTCCTTCCTGTTTCACTCCTGGGGAACCTGAACCTTGGTCTAAGGCCAGAGGCTGGCCAATCGTGTACAGGAGGACCACTTGTTCTGGAGCAGGCAGCCACCTCCTCTATCACTCCATTAACTTGATGCCCAAATGCATTTAGTTTGCACCATCCTCCTTCATGGCCTCAATCTGCAATTTCCCCTAATTAATGATTGCAAATTGCTAAGTAACGAACCACTTGATGGTGCTGCTAATAATAATGGTTGAGAGTGGATGAAGACTAGGGTGTGGGAAAGAAAGGTCATTCATTAGTCTGGTGTTGAGGGACTCTGTGTTGGGGACAGGCCCAAAGGTCTACAAGGAAGGCAGAGGGATGATGGGGAGGGAACTGCAGGCTACATCTGGTCCTCACCAACTTGGATGTCACAGAGACCTCAAGCTAAGTGATTCCCATGGCTCCAGGATCCCAAGAAACATGGTTGGGAACTAAGGGAGGTTGGGTCAAAGCTTTTCCTAGAGCTTGCATGGGGTTTAGCCAGTTAAAGCAGAGAAGACCTCTACCAGACACCAATCCTGGGTGGCAGGGTGTATGGGACAGGGGAGTAGCTGCCTAGACCATGAGCAGAAGCTGAGAGTAGATTCCAGGTGCTCAAGGTTGGTCCAGGCCATCAAGAAACACCCACACAACAGCTGGGCTCCAAGGCAGATGGCAATCATGCTTCATGGCAATCTGACTTATGGGTGGGTGGGGGAAGGGCTGTTGACTTCTGCTTGGAGGATGCATGGATAGCTCAGGGAGAGAGAGTGCTCTTATGATAGGAACACATGATGAAAAACAGCTGCTCATACCAGCTCCAACTGCTTGAGAGGACTCCCTAAGTCCTTCCCGGCCAGGACCAATGGTAGCTTTCAGAAACCCACGCACACTCCATGAAATGCAACAGCATTCACCAGCTCTTCGGAGTGTCCAGGTCTTACTTGTGTGTGTGTGTTTAACATATCTGCTATCTTGGATCTGCTCAGCTCATGGCTTCCCATCCCTTCCAGTCTTAAGGAGACTGCTGGACATCTGTGGTGATTTGAATAGGTATGGCCCCTGTAGACTCATGCATTTGGATGTTTGGCCCATAGGAAGCAGCACTATTAGAAGGTGTGGCTTTGTTGGAGTAGGTGTGGCCTTGTTGGAGGAAGTATGTCACTGTAGGGGTGGGCTTTGAGGTCTCCTATGCTCAAGCTATGCTCAGTGTGGCACACAGTTGCTTCTGCTGCCTGTGGATCAAGATGTAGAACTCTCAGCTCTTATCCAGCATCATGTTTGCCTGCATTTCGCCACGTCACACCATGATGATAATGGACTAAGCCTCTGAAACTGTAAGCCAACCCCAATTAAATGTTTCCTTCATAAGAGTTGCTGTGGTCATGGTGTCTCTTCACAGCAACAGAAACCCTAACTAAGACAACAGCTGTAAGAACCTCCTCATACTATGTGTGGGCAAGGCAGTTCTTCAAATGTCCTTCTTAAGGGGTGGTTGGGGAGAAGGGGAGCCTGACCTCTAGCCAAATCTCCTGGAACTATGGGGCTTGGTGGAGAGCTGGGTGTGGAATTTAGCACTTCTCTTGAATTTTGATGCAATATCATTCTGCAGTTTTTAATCCTCCCCCATGACAGTTGGAAAAGTTAAAAAAAATCCCTAAAGATTTCTGACACTAAACAACTTTTGGAATGTGTGTATGGTATGGGGCGGGGGCGGGGGGGGTGGTGGCAAATTCAATAATAAGCTGTTTTCTGCTTCCCTCCTTTTGACCAGCCTTTGTGAGCACACAGCCATCTTGCCTGGTTGTAACCAGCACTAGAAGCTGGTTCGTACATTCTCTACCTAATGGTGCTTCACCGAAACATTTCTATCCTGTCTGTTTAGTCTCCAGAGCCATCACTTTTAATAGTGACAGCAGAGGAACACAGCACCACTCCCTTCTCCCATTGTTGGGTGTTTGGGTGGTGGACACATGTTCAGCCCCCCCAACAGTGTTGGCATCCGTGTCTTTGTCAAATGGCTTTTTTTTTTTCTGCCTGTGTCTCTCTTTGTATTATTTCCCAGGGGTTTATTCCCCAAAGGAGAATCACCAGGTCAAAAGGCCTAGCAGTTTTGCAGCTCACATCCCACATTGCCAGATGGCTTTTCGAAGACAGCGCGGTTCCACTTTTAGCTAGATACATAGGGATGCACTGGAATGGTTGGGCTGGTGCTTTCCTTCTTGGGGTTAGAGTTCAGCATAAGTTTGCTGTGTGACCTTGGGCAAGTCAGACCCCCCTCTCTGGACCTGCATCTTCTTGTTTATATAGTGAGGTGATCTTAGATCTCACCTGTGATGGGGCTTTATGAGAGACCTCAGTGGTGGGGGGATGGGTAGACACTGGGGTCTCAGACTTGTTGGCATTTGATTCCCTTCCCTCACCAGGGAAGACGATACCCAGCCAGTCATGCAGGTTAGCGAACGTGTGTGTGTGTGTGTGTGTGTGTGTGTGTGTGTGTGTGTGTGTGTGTTTGTAAGTACACGAGGGTGTGAGAGTGCACGTGCCTCCCAAACACTGGGATTGCAGGTGCACACAACTGTGCCTGGCTCTCATGTGACTGTTGAGGCACGAACCCAGATCCTCATGCATGTGCTTAAGTGTTTTACTGAGGGAGTCATCTCCTCAGCCTGCTGTTTGATTCTGGATGGATGATGTGCTGTGCGGGGTCAACAGCCTCAGCTCGGATGTCCCAGGCTGCAGTTGGCACCCACCCACTCAGCTACACTTCACACTTGGAACCTTCTGCTTGATGGGCTACTTGGTAAGTGTTCTGAATTTCATCCCTGGGCATAAGAAAAATATCTTGGAACCTGACAGAACTGGATTTGAACCCAGCCTCGGTGTGTGTAGGTTCTGTGATATTAAGCAGGTGACTTGATTTCCTGGAACCTTAGTTTTCTCATCTGTGAAATGGGAATACAACCGCTCAGCCTACAAGGTGCTCCCCAAAGGTTAAATAGTAATGCCTGCGACATATTCTGATGGTGCCTGGCCCAGTGGAGTCCTCATGAGCACAACAGTTTCCACAGACTGGTGTCCTTGCAGTCTGTCTTGGGGCCTCTCAACCAGGGTGTACACTGCTATGTGCTCAACTCGAGGGCCTGGAGGGGCCTGGCTTCCTGCCTTTTCTGGATTCTACCCACTTGCTCACTTGCCTGCCAGCCCCTTTCCCCTGGTTGCCTGGCCCCTCCTGGTCCTCTTTGATGCCATGAAGTTGGGATGGTCTGAGGCCAGAAGGCCAAGCCCCAGCACAGGACAGCCTGCCTGGATTCTCTCATTCCACCTCAGGTTCTGCCCACATCTCTGCTTTGTCTTATCCTTTCTTACAATCTTGGGCCTCCAGAAATAGATCCACTGAAGTCTCCCCAGTGCCTGGAGAGCCCCAAGATCCCCCACAGATCAAGTCCCTGCCTCTTGGGCCTTTTTCTTATTCCTGCCTGGGCCTAGCTAGGGTCTAGCTAGGCCTTCATCTCCACACATCTTTGTGGCCAGCAGGTCTTTTCAGGAATGCCGGATGCTCCCTCCACCCAGGCCCTGCCAGTGACCACCCACTCAGGGAGAAGAAGGTGGTAGAGGAAACCTCTCAGGCAGGACAGCCCTGCCCCTGGGGATCAGGCCAGGGACCCAGGCCCAGAAACCTCAAGGTCTGCAGATTGTCATCAGAGGTATCTTTAATCTAGACAGGGAGCGAGGCAGGAGAGTGCGGAATGCCAGGGACCCTGTTGTCCCTTGATTGTCCATTAAGAAGTTGCTAATAATATGCTACACTCTCCTGTGATGCTCCATCCCCCAAACAGGAGGAGCAACTGGCACCACATCCAAGATCTTTGCCCTCAATGGATGAAGACCCATCGGGGTGAAGTGTCACCCTCTTAGACGAGTGGTCCTCAACTTGAGGGTCGTGACCCCCAAAGACCACCAGAAAACACAGATATTTATACATTACAATTCATAACAGCAGCAAAATTACTGTTATGAAGTAGCAACAAAAATAATTTTATGGTTGGGGGGTCACCACCACATGAAGAACTGTATAAAGGGTCACAGCATTAGGAAGGTTGAGAACCACTGTCTTAGGGCCTGACATTTCAGAGACAGCACTCACTATGGGGCCCTATTTATGATGACCAGCTTCTCATGAGCTATGCTGTTCACAGGAACCCACCTGCATTGGGGACTGAAGGACCTGAAGGAGTTTTCAGTTGGTTAGGCACTGGAGAATGCTGGGCCCTGTGGCCCACCGTCTGTTTGGTATGTGAAATTCCCCTGGAACAGTCCCTTTGTTTCGTATTGCCTATGTGGCACCGGCAGAGGGCGGTGGGCAGAGGCTGCAAAGGGTGACATAGGAACTGGTCCTATAGAGTCTGAGGTGCTGGGGACACACAACCGGGCCCAGCTCCTGTTCAACCTGCTGTGATTGACAGGAGGGGTGGTGATCTCAGAGCCACACATTTCCAGGGCCAGGCTGGATGCCCCGTATAGAAGCCCAAGCCCTCCCCTGACCTGCTTCCTTCCCCAGGAGGTTTTCTCTCTCTTTCCTTTCTTCCTAAAGAAAGAAAATAGCAACAGGATCTCTCAGACTGACTTTATGCTTTTTATCTCCCTGCCTCAGTGCTAGGATTATGGGCACGAAACAACACATCTGACCCCAAAGAGACCTTCATGAATTGTTGGGATTGGGGGTTGGTTCCTCAGCCACCTCTTTGTACCCACTTCCTTCTTCCCAAGCAACCAGAACTGGAGGAAGAGTGTCCTTGTCTAGACCTGCTCTCATGATCTCTCTCTCAGGGTCCCAGAGGCTGTGACACTGTGGAAAGAAATCCAAGCTGCCCAGCCGTTGAGCCTCCGTGTCCCATAGTCTCAGTGTGCCCATCTGTAACCTGGGCACAAGAAGAGTCCTGGGTCTTTGAACTTCCCAGCAAGAAACAGAGCCCTCTAGTCGGTGATCATGTTAGCTGGCATTGCAGCTCTCTTCTGTGGAGAGAGAAGAATGGGACCCCAGCACCCTGGACTCACGGTTTTTCCTAAGGAGCCCAAGGCAGCAGACTCCCACTCCTGAAAACCATCTTCCCGAGTACAGGAAACAAAGCAATTAGCAGCCTCTTTGTTCGGGTGTTAATTAATTTGTGTTTTCGGAGTGCACCTTCTTCCAGGTACAGCCCATCATCTCTGGGGTGCTGGCAGGGGAAGGCAATTAGTTCCTTGTTACTGTGCAACTAATTATGGCCTGGAAACTGCTTGAGGAGGCTGAGAAGGATTCCCCTACAGCTTCAGCTCAAGGGAGAGACCTCATTCTGGAGCAGGCACCGAGGTGAGCTAGGTCTGGACCCCGGAGAAAAGGCTGTGGAGTCCAGGTGAGGAGAGTTCAGAAAGGAAGGTCTGGGTGCCCATCTCTCCCACTCAGGAACTTTCAAGGGCTCCCTGGTTCCTACCAAGTCAAGATCAAGCATCATACTTGATGTTTGAAACTCCCTACTACTTGCTTAGATACAACCTCTGAGCATCATTTCCCATCATAGCTACTCACGCTCTATGTGTTCCTGGAAAACTCAAGTGCTACCTGGATGGACTGGTAACCTTTGTCACCCAGTTCCCAACATCTTTATGATCTATCTGGGTCTGCTAAAAAAACTCTTAGTCTTTTAGTTGAGTGACTGCCCCACAGCCTTTATTGAAGGCAAGAGGGTTCGGGACTTCATTACTTTAGCTCCCACAGCATCAGCCTTGACTCCATACCCCCACGTAAAAAGGACCACATGTGCCCAGCTTAGATACGCTGGTCTTCTGTGTCCCTCCCATGCTCGGAGTCCTGGTCCTCAGTGTTTAGCTCATAGAAACAGCCTCACTTGACCTGGGTCAGGGGCTTACCTGGCTGTATGCTAGTCTCCAAATGGGAAGGTGGAGGAGGAGGTCCTTAACTTCACCTGCCACTGTGGGTCTCAGGACCCTGGACATTCAGCCTCAGAGGAACCAAGGCAATAGTTCAGAGCCAGGGCACTACTACCCCCTGAGAGGGGGGAGGTTCTAGACCATCACCAAGACTTGGGGGCATCCCTGACATTGAGGCAGAGGTAAGAGGCTCACTCTCTGTCCTTGTCACATAGGAAGGTACCTGGTGTACGTGTCTGGGGCTGGAACCTAACTCTGAGTTGCTTAACGCTCCGTTATTTTCAGCAGCCTTCAGGAAGCCCGGGGGAGACTGGCCTTTGTCTCAGGAACAGTTTACCAGCCTAGAAATACAGTGTCATGGCAACCCTGCTCCTAGTGCCTCGGTCCCTAAAGGAAATGCATCCGTCTCACCGTCACTGTTTCTAGGTGCAGTGTTCACAGGCCGTGGGAGTGGTTCCGGCTCACTCACTGGCTAGTCTCCATCTTATGCCAAGGCTTGAACTGACCAGAGCTTCACATCTGCTTGGTATGCTTTCTATCACTGAGATGTAGCCTCTCCAAGCCCATTTCATTTTATTCTAAATGTTTTTCTTATTTATTTCTACAATTAAGGCAAAATCATTTGTGGAGGTGGGTTCCACAGCTCCACTTCACTTCAAGAAGGAGCTGTCAAGGAGGGTAGTGAGCCCAGGCTATGAAAATCCCAGGTTAGGCCTGGGCCTGACCGGTCAGGGGTTGTGTTGTCTCATTAGGGGTCCGTCCCTCCACTGTGTGTTTTCTCTCTGTGAGCATGTGTATACATGTATATACGTGTATATGTATGTGACTGTATGGGTGTTCATGTTCCTGGCTTAGGCTGAGTTTGACCCAAGAAGCTGCCCCTCATGCCGTCCCGTCCAGACTCGGGACCCCAGATTTCCCCATCGTGACACCCCAGGTGCTCCTCCTGTACCCCCATTTCTTTAGATTCCGCTCCTCTCTTGAATGGCACATCTTCCTCCCACCTCCTCCATTCCTTTTCCAGCTCTGGGTCTGGCTCCCTGCAGGGAGCAGAGTGAATTAATTAGGGAGTTAATACAGGGTGTTCTGAAGCATGTTACAGCTGCTTCTCCCACCAGGACCGGCCCCGACCCTGCCTGTGCTCTCCAGGGGCGGTTCGTGTTTGCTGTGGAAAGTGGTTCCTAACAGAAGCTAATGTCCCAGAACGGTGGCGCTGCCTTTGGGATCACAGACCCATTACCTCATGGCTAATTGGCTGGTGGCTACGGAAGCCTGATTGTGGATCTGAAGTGACGGCTTTTGGAGGACCGGCAGCTTCACTGTTCATCTATCCACTCTCAACCTCCAGTTGTCTATCACACATCAGTTGTCCGTAGGTGTCTATCAAACCTTTGAGAAGGTGCTGGGGGCTATGCCGGGAGGTAGGTGTGTGTGTGTGTGTGTGTGTGTGTGTGTGTGTGTGTGTGTGTGTGTGTGTGTGTGTAGTTGCAGCAAGAGAGGGGTGAGAAGGATTATTTGTCCATGTGTGATGGTTGACCTTGAGCCTTCACAGGCCTGGACCTAGACTGGGTATGGAGCATGAATCAACTCTCTGAGGACTCTCACTCCAGTTCTCAGGGATCTGGCGTGGGTCTGCCAGTTGAGCAAGTTCCTCAGTCTGGAGAACAGCAGCATGTCCTATCAGCCAGCTCTCCATCCATCCCCTCCACTACTAGGAATGGTGGTCCTGGCTGGCAGCAGGGGAGGGTCCTAAAGTGACTGGGTCCATGGCTGATATCTGGATTCCCTGGGCACTGATCTCTAGGGTTCCATCTGCAAAGACCTCTCCTCTCCCCTAGGCAGCCAGTGAGAGCTGGGAGAGTCTCTCTCACTTGCTTTTCAAAACTCAGAAGCTTGGAGCTCCTCCCACCCAATCTCCGGGCCCAGTCAACTGATCAGCATACAGCACACACTTCTACTGCGAAATTACTTATTGCTCATCTGAAATTAAGTGAGCATCTTCAAACACGGCCAACCTGGAAAGGGACCTGCGTGGATGAACATGCTGGGGCCATGTACTCTGTCCCCAAATGTGGCCAGGTATGTCTTGGTTCGATGATAACACTGTGGGAATGTGAGGATGTCTGTCATTGCCTCCCATTCTCCTTTTCTGCTCTCAAGGGGCTTTCATAGGTCTGGGAAAAACCAGGGTAAAGGGCTCCCTAGGTCTCACAAGGCCACCTCCTCCCAGGGGCACAGCCAACACAGGACTTCTGAGCAACGCTGACAGGTCTATGAGCCTGAAACATCCACTGGATTTCCCAGGCTTAGTGTGAGAACGAGGACATAAAGTGTCTCATTAATGCCTTTTAAATGTTCATTACACATTGAAAAGATCACATATTGGATACATCAGGTTAAATAAAATATCTTTAAAAATTAATCTCACCCACTTATTTTCTCTTTTCAGAATGGGGGTAGGAGATGTAAAATTGCACACAAGGTCTCTTGATGGATACCCACCGGTGAGCATGCATCTTGATCTAGCCTTCCCAGGTTCAAATCCTAGCTTTCCTATGCTGAACAGCCTGGGGGTGAGTCACTTGATGGCCTCAGTCTTCCCATCTGTAAAATGAGGTTGATATTAGAGTTTTGCTTACAGGCTTGCTATAAAAAATTAAACCAGCTCACGCTGTGGGCTTTGCAGATAGGAAGTCTAATATAAATATTAACCATAGCTCTCTCTGATTAGTCACACAATTAATATTTGTTGAACAAAGCATTGAATTTCTAGACCCTAACCACCCCACCCCACCCCATTCCCACTGTAAGCATTTATCTGTCGCCCAACATTTATTCAGCAAATATTTATTGAGACACTACAGTGAGCCAGGTGCTGTGATTGACACTACAGGCAAAGAGGAACGTTTCATCAATCAATTAATGGATTCCACGAATCTTAGCTGAGCTCAGCTTTGGTGCCAGCGCTGACTAGAATCTAGGGTCCACAGGGGCTACACACTCACCTTGGGATGGGATCTCAAGGTATGTGGAGAAGACAATACTTAGCAAGAGTTTGACACTGTAGGCTGTCTGCTGAAATAGGGGACCAACAGGGTGGGTCAGAACCAAGGGCTGAGAGGAGAGGGAGGGTGCCAGCAGATGCCTTGGGAGGGGCACATGGAACTCTGGGAGAGGCTGGCTAGGAAGAAGGAAGCCGCTCCAGGGAGAGCAGAAACATCTTCCCTGTCATCCATCAGATTTGGAGCAGAGAGAGCTGGGTCACAGAACTTAACCCGAAAGGCATGGACACATCAATATCAGTTGAGGCGGCTGTTTGTTCCTGAGTAGACAAGCCAGCTGGCTGATTGAATTTTTCACTCATCATTAGGGTGCTGAACAGAAATCTAGGAAACAAGGCCCTTCAGCCAGCAGCCTGGGTATCCCTGAGTTTCGGTCCCCAGACAACAGTACCCCTCTAGGCCTTCCTGCCAGACCCTGATGCCCAGCCTCCATGGCTGGCAGTTTAGCGCACAGCTGGTAAGTTAAAAGCACTTTAGTGATGATTCCACCTCGCACTGAAGACTTCCAGGGACTGTTAATGAATTTAAATGCTGGGGATTTTCTCTGATGCCTCATTGCATATGCTCTTCACATTAAGATGCTAATGAGGGCTCGAGCGGACAGAGGCACTGGAGCCAGACCAGGGACAGTGGCCTGGAAAGGGTTGCTGGCTGGTTAGGGCTTTTCTAATTCCTTATCAGTGCTGCATCGGTGACCTCTCCAAGTGGGTTAACTGGCCCTGGCCTCCTTGGGGATAGGGGAGGCAGTCAGCTGGGACTGAGTCGATGCTGTGCCCGAAGCTGAGGCTAACGACAGGAGTCTTAGTGAGCAAACAGGGGAATTGCTGTGAGATTCTGTCTATGGACTGGGACTCCATCCAAGAGGCTGTGCCTTACAAACCCAGATGGATTGTGGGTGAAGTTCAGACCGCTAGTCTGAGTTCTTGAAGACTCTAAACTTGCAAGGAAACACTGAATACCGCTGGAATGGAAGATTGTTCATGAGGCCAGTAGTACAGAGTGACAGGGGTGCATGGACTCTGGGCAAACTGGCTGGGGTGATAAGCAGGCTGTCCCTGAGGACATCGGAAGAGGTAGTTGGCCTAGAATCCTCATGGAGATGGGAAAATGGAGCTTGGCTTCTCTTCTTTTTGATAAAGACAAGAGAGAGAGAGAGAGAGAGAGAGAGAGAGAGAGAGAGAGAGAGAGAGAGAGAGAGAGAGAGAGAGAGAATAAGATATTAAAGATGTAGAATAAACAAGAAGTTGTAAAGCCGATCTTTGGAGGGGGCCAGGCATCCTGGTTTGGACCTTGCCTCTGCCACCAAGAAACTGTGAGAGCTCTGGCAGAATCCTACTGTGCCTCAGTTTCCCCATCAGTTAAATGGTGATACCAGTAGTACCCGCCTAGCTCATGAAAGTGCTTGCCCAGTTAATCCCATGCATTAGTGATGAACACTGATCTTTCCCCAACCCGTTTTCCACTTCTGCTTAAGGCGAAGAGTGTGAAGGAGGAGGTAAGCCGAAAGGTGGGATCCATGCCAGCCAGTGTTGGGGAAGGGGCTCTGCAAGCGAGCGAAGCTTCCTTCCTGCCAACCCGCATTTCACACAGTGGGGAGAATCTGCTGGCTCCCCCAGAAGCCACTTCCCTCAGTCTCCTGAAAGTCCACTGACAATTTTTGTAAATTTGTTTAAGGATTAAATTAATAAGGCTCTTCTCCTTGGCTGCCATCAACACACAGAACCCCGCGGTTTTGTGCTCCCAGATGCAGCTTCTGAGGCTGCGTGTGGAGGAAGTGAGGCCACTTCAGAACCTGGCTCCTCCAGGGGTGCCCAGGATTAACCTGGGGGCCTCCTGCAGTGTCTGGGATCCTCCTGCTGTGTGGGTGCACGGGCCCTGTTTAGCACCCACTTGCAGGAGCGCTGCTGAGGGCTGGTACTCTGGCTAGCAGCTGTGTTCTCCAGAGCCTTGAGTCTGACTTTGTCTTTCTTCCTCCGCAGATCAGGACTTTGGGCCCTCCAGTCACGCAGAAAGCTCCTTCTATGGAGGATTACCATCTCCCCCAGGGGCACTTTTGGGATGGGATCTCCCACATTCCCAGGATTCCTCCCTACCTTGAATACTTCCTAATGGCATGGGGTACCTGTCACAGGGCAGAGAAAGGGGACTGTCAGCATTTTGAGGCCACTCTGCTCTGGAGGTCTCTGGGAATGGCAACACTCCCCATCAATTCTGAAGGCAGAAAGAAGCCTGGAGGACAAGGGGCAGGCCTTCCTTGGACCCTTTAGGACTGGCAGATCCCGGGGGGCGGGGCGGGGGACACACAGGTTGATGGCGTTGGAAGAATGGGTGTACAAAGGTTATCTAGACTTAATAGCAACCTCTCACTCCAAAGATGCTGTGTGTGCTATCTTCAACCCCCATGGTGGGGTGTGCATGGGGCTCAATGTCTTTTAGGGTTCCACTGGCCACTTCTCCAGAACTACCAAAGCCTGGGCTGTCTTGAGAGCCTCAATCTTCTCCACTGCCCCACCTCAGCGCCCATCTCTCAGTCTGACTCAGGAACCCAGGGACTGTAGGTTAGTGGGCCTGTCAGAAATGAGGGTGGGAAGATCCTCCTCCTTTGTGTTCCCCTGCACAGGCTAAGACCACACCATGGTTCCCAGGAAGTTCATCTTCTGAGATGTCTTCTGCCTCCCGCCAGCAGGTGAACTTCCTGCAGAGTAATTGAGACTGGAGGAACTGCTGGCCATATCCATCCTGAAGCTGTGTGCAGAGCCTCTGATTAAGGGCCGGCGGGTTAACCCCTCACCATTCAGCAAGCGGGCAGGTAGGGGCAGGGAAGGCTGTCTTCCCACTATCCTCAGTCAGCACTCTGTCTGGAGAGCTGCAAATGAGAGTCTGGGAGGTCTAGGGCAGGCAGAGAGAGGGGTCCAGAGCCCATCTGTCAGTCCAGCCTTGGCAACCCAGCCACTCAGCCCCTTACAGAGAATGCCGGAACCACAAGCTCTAGTGGGTGCAAAGGGCCAGATCTGACCTTCCTACCGGAGTTCTGAGGGTGGGCATTCAGCCTGTGCTCACACGGGGTTTCCGGATACACGGAGCTCTCCGTCACTCCATACAGCCTGCTTACTGCGCAGCGGACTAATTCTACCTGAGTGAAATCTCCTATCAAATTAAACCTATCCTGTGATAACATCCACCCACGGCAGCTCTGGCCTTTGGAGACATACAGTTTAAAGTTCATTTCTCTTCTGTGGCTGGCCATCAAAGACTTAAGGCAGTCTGTTCCTGCCTCACTGGAGAATGCCTTCTCTTCTCTATGCTGTCCGGAGTTCACCCAATTTGTCTTTCCTGCTGACATTCCCATAGACTCTGGAGTCAAAATATCTGGGTCCCCACTTGTTCTCATAGCAGCTTTATGCTGTCAAACATAGTAGCTCAACTCCCCAAGACTAGGCTTCTGGGTCAGTGAAATGGGTATAGATTGAAGAATTGCACCCATTGGGAACAGGCTCAGATGACTAACCCAGTCCTCAAGGCCCTTTATCAGAAAGACTCCCTGTTCCTGTTCCTGACCTTCCTCAGACAGTACAGTTTGCCTAGACTTCCCTCCACCTCTCCTTGTCACTCATGAGTGAAGGATGTAGCACTCTGTGACCCGAACAGAGCCCCGGATGTTGGCATTGAGCTCTCTCCAGCTGCTACCGGGGAATGTCTTCTTTGTCTAGCCTGATCTTGAAGAGGGGACTCTTCAAGGGCTTGTGGGCACTGGTGGCCTCCTCCTGCTGCCCTGGGAGCCCCTGCAGCCACCGTGGTTCAGCAGCCACCGGGCCTGTGGCTGCAGAGCTATTTCAAGGCTTCCTGTTTTGAGGAGGAGGTTTTAATTATCCCCAGAGACGTGACTGAATTACAGACCCCACGGGTGCACAGCATGAACTGCTCATGTTCTGCCCCCAAAGGAACTGTATCCTGGTGAATTACACAGTCCTGTGGAAAAATACAGGCTGGAGAGTGGAGTTAGAGATGCTAAGAAGTTCTCAATGGCCTCCAGGCCTACATGACTGGAAATTGCGCGGCTCAGTCGGCCCTGCCACTTGGGAGACACGAGGGTGACTTTAGGTGCTTTCACTAATCTTATCCCATCCACTTAGGCATGCCCTGTTGGCTGTTCTGTCCATTTCACTGCCTGAACCCACTCTCTTTAACCTTCAGTCTCAGGTTGTTCTTGAACTTGCAGCCTTCCTGTCTCAGTGCCCTGACATCCTGCCACCACACCAGGCTACTCATGTCTTAATTCTGGATGAGCCTGCTCTATAGCAAGAATGCCCTATCCCCCACAGTGGAAGACTGTTAATGGCTCTAGTCTCGCCATCTTACATTCAGTTCCATTTGGAGTTGGATCTGCTTCTCCCAGACCCTCGAAGCTGAGTTGACTTTGAGACACATTGGCCTACACATGGCCTGGGAGGGGTAAAGTCTGAGGACCAGGGCTTGGGCTCCTGGGCTTGTGTTTCATCTATGGCCATCCTAAGCACTGTCCGAAGGCCACCATGGACACAATGTAGCTCCTAGGACAAGAAGCCCTGAGGAGGAGACTGAGTCTTTCCCAGGAATGGTCAGTGCCACTGTCTGCTGCAAGGGCCAGGCTGGCTCTACCTTCCAGCTCAGCAAACCCTCCAGCCAAACACAGCCCAATGGGGACATGAGGGCGGGGAACCTCAGTAGCCACCTTGCTGCCTTGTAGAACAGGAGGAAAGAAGCTCAATTACTTGAGTCAGTCTAGTGGTTTTCAGGTAGCAATGGTGCCCAAGACACCTGGAGACAGGATGGGTGTGAGCTGTATGTTTGAGAGGGGATCCCAGGAAGTGTTCTGGGAATTGTGGGGTGGTAAGGCAGACTAGTAGAGATAGGTGGGTGAGGGGCAGTTTTGAGGACAGCTGGGGCTTTCTCCATCTCCTAGGGAACTCTAAGATTCTTGTGTCCAGGAAGGGACCATGTCTCAGACTGGTTATAGGGAGAGAGGAAGCAGTGGAGACTTATCCATCAAGTTCCACAGTGGAGACTTATTCATCAAGCTCCAATCTCACCTTCAAATGGCTGCTGGAGGCTGTCTGAACAGGGGTTGGGTCAGCCTAGGGCCAGAAACTACATACAAACTGAGACACAGGAAGCTGTGGATACATGTCTGCAGGCTGAGACACAGGAAGCTGTTAATACATGTCCGCAGGCCGAGACACAGGAAGCTGTGGATACATGTCTGCAGGTCATGTCTAAAACTGATAGAGGAACATGGCTAGAGTGTTCATTCATGGCCTTTGGCCCAAAGGAATTTATGGAATACCCATTATATACCTTTCAATAGCTTCTAGAGCACAGGGGTGACCAAGACAGGACAAGTATATCCACCCTCTGGGGACCTTCAGGTAGGTAAAGAGAAAACCCAATGAACCCAGGAAAGTCCCATGGCATAGTGCTGTCACTTGGGGACAGTTCTGAGAGCAAGTGGGAGACATATTTTATGTTCATCGTTATTATAGGGGATGCTGCTGGCACTTTGGAGAGGGGCCAAGGGCACTAAAGATTCGTCAATACACAGATGGCCTTCCGTGCTGCAGAGTCACCTTTCACCCACATGGATTTCAAATATTTCAGTCAACATTCAGGTAGCTGACAACTTGTTGCTAATTGCTTCAGCCGGGAACCTAACTCCAGTTTATACGGAAACATCAAGTATTCATGTTACAGATTCAACACACAGCGTTTCCTAGGAATGCTACCACTGGGCAGACTGAGATACGGCTGTACTGGGCTCCCTTATAGATGATTCATTTCTGGAAAATTTGCATTTGTGAAGGCGACACTGTTTGTGTTCATTGAGTCTAGGCAGCACTTGGGACAGGGCCTTTGTCCTTCATGGTGACTGGGTAGGCACATGCCTCTGCTTCATCAGTGTTCCGCACAGTGAAACCAGAACATTTACGTATTGAAATACAAATTTTAGTATAGATTATCTGCACTCAACCTTTCCTTTCGATCATAGTCAGGACATTATGTTGATTCATTTGCTGATGATGTGTCTTGGTCGCTTATACTAGACATGAATGTCATCTCAGGATGGCAGAAGACCCTTTGCAAATGATTTGTTACCAAAGTAGGAGGGAATCTGATATGGCTAAGTGCTTCGCCTGGTATTTCTAGCTTACTTCACTGCGATCAGGGGACTTTGG